AGAAATGAGTTCAAAAACTGGCTGCAGGTAATTCTATCGTTGGACGGGTCCAAAAAAATAAATTAGTGTTATACTCACAGAATCTTAAAAAGCAGTGAAATTCAGCAATAAAAAATAGGATTCATATGATAGCAATTATGTCTATATCAGGCCCCACCCCACACCCTAAAAAAACAGATTCAAGTGAAAATCAACAAATTGGAAAATGTATTGGCTGACATAACAGAGCATAAAATAAACATACAGAAACAACAGCTTTGGATATGTGGAGAAGGGACTCTCTCACACAGCTACCATAAAGGATGGACAGAGTTTCTGGTAATCAGTTTGACAAGAAACTGAAGCCCTGCATGAAAATGTGCTTTAAGCGCCCTAAGATTTTCACACATCAAGGTTTATGTCCGACAGCTTTGGACAAGTGGACTGGACATTGCCAGATGCTGTTCTCCCTGGCCTGTTGTATATATTAATGCATCTGACAAAAGTAGGTTGAGGTCCTTACCATCTTTATGTTTTTGCACATGCTTTGACTACTGGGAAAGAACCGGGAAACTAATTCCAAACTTCAGTAAAAGACAGAAAAAAAAATCCTGAAACAGAGAGCCCAGAGAGTCGCGGTTAAGGCCCTGTTGATTCTTAGGTTAAAATAGTTTGGTAAATGGCGAAGGTATGTATGGTCTGACCTAGCATTACCTAGCGTTGCCGCCTCTAGGATGACTGTCAAGGCCGGCACGTCACGACACGCTTGTGAGACGTAGCTTGGTTTACTGTAACAAAAAAAAATAGTGAAATAACTTGGTGTCCACTAATACACAAACGTTCACAGTGTAGTGTCAAAGTTCTATGTGCCTTTAATCACAGCACTCTGGAGGCTGAGGAAGGTGGATCTCTGTGAGTTCAAACTAGCCTGGCCTACAATGTGAGTACCCCAGGTCACCCAGAGCTACATAGTGAGACTCTGTCTCCAGACAAAGGGAAAACAAAAAAACAAAACAAAGCTCCCAAATTTTATGCAGCTGCTAAAAAAAAACCAATGTAGATGTTCTCTGTGAACTAATACGGGAGTCTCCCCATGCACACTGTTCATCAAAACACTGCGGTGTGGTGTTTGTACAATACGCTACCGTTTGTGTAAGAACTAGAGAGGGCAAATGTGAGTAGAAATAAGCTGTTTATATGCGCATTGGGAAATTAGTCACAGTTCACATCATAAAGGTCCTAGAAATCTGTAAGAAATAATTTCTTACCCTGAGGACTGTGGAGGGTATAGTGGGAAGCAAACTGTACATTACGTGGTTTGGTGTCTTTGATTCCTAATCTATGTGAATTATACCCCCATTCAACACTGTAGATTTAAATTACCATTTTGGAGTGTTAAGATTATCTTTTTTAAACTTTGAACACTTTCTGTGAAACTTGAAGCCTCAGATATTATTTTCCAGATAGACAAACTCAACTCCCTTTGACTTCACAGACCAATCATTTTGGTGCTGTGGACAATAACCTCAACCTTAGGCAATATTTGCGGGGGGGGGGGTGACCTTCAAGTGCTATGGAGTGACTTTTCCATTTCCTCCTTTGCTGTCTCTACCTTGCCTCTCACAACGATGAAAGCCACTTCTTAAGAAATTGCTAGGATCCATGCCTTGAGCTGCTTCCTGTGGCAACTCATCAAGCTGGTTTCCTTACCAACAGTCCCCAGGACACCAGGAAGTCGGGTGCTTGCTTCCGGAAGCTGCCTGCACTTAGGCAGCATTCCATGGTTTGCAGAGTGAGCTTCAGGCACATGGAGATGCAGTGGCTGAGCTCAGCCTGCTTGCTCTGGAAGCAAGCCTAGTCAGGGCAGGTGGAATCTGCAGCTTTTTGCAGGGTGGCAAAGCAGATATCTCCCTCCCCCCTGCTGTTAGTCTCTGTTGCATCCTCTCCCCCACCCCCCTGGAAGAGCTGTTTCAACCCAGACAGTTGCAACCTGCCCAGAGTTTTCCTGGAACCAGCAGAGGAGCCAGACAGGAAAAGATGAGTGCTGACAAATCAAACCCTGTGGGTTATGGAAACTTGCAGTAATGCCTGGTGGAAGATGGAGTTTCTGTGCTGACCTGGTGATCTGATAATGTCCCTGGGTGTGATCCAGGTCCTTACCCCATTGACTACAGTCTGATTCCGACACCTGTTCCTCTGTCCTTCAGTGACTGTGATGATCCATTCCGGTAACATGTCAGGGCCAGTAACACGCAGGGGGACGTGGTATGACTGGATCACAGAGGTGGCTCACAGGTAACCCTGTTTCTGTCACCCCAGTCACAGTGACACTGCTGCCGCCTGCCCGTGTCCCTCGTGTGGCCTGTGACCGGCAGCTGATGGCCCTACAGCTTCATTCTGGGGGTCACTCTCCGCTGGGCGGGAAGCACCCTGGATTTGGGAGCCTAGCAGCCCTCCAGGGTCCCGTTTAGTCACTCGTGTACCCTGCCTACTCTTGCAAGCTGCCTAAGAGGGCATGCCTTGTCTGTTGGCCAGCCATGTTTGCGGGGGCCTCACGGCGTCACTGTGGTCTCCTGGATGGAGCTGAAACATAGAACTGGAAGTTTTGGGGGACCAAGCAACTCGCCTCACCTCTTTTGCTTCCACTGGCATCTTCGGCACAGACATCAACTTTCTCTGCTGGGCTTACAGAGCTGGACTGAACCGCCGTGACCTTCTGTGAGCTAGGTTGTGACTCATCGGAGGTCAGTTTGCTCAGCCAGCAGCTGACTATGGTAACTTGAGTCAAATGGATATGGAAATGGTTCCTTCCTCTACATCCTTAGGGGACCTGAGCATGTTATCCCGTACGTTCCAAAACGGAGTAGCGGAAGCGGTGGAGGCAGAGATAAAAGCACAGACACTGTGGTTGCAGACTCAGCAAGTCCAGCCTGCACAGTCCTGGCACGGGAGGATGGGCCTGGGCCTGCGGGTAGCTCTTCCTGGCAGCTAGTTCAAACCTGGGGGTCCTTTGCCAAAACAAACACACAAACAAGCAAACAAACTTTGGCGTGATGGCACAGGGCTGGGGTGGACGAGCTATCTGGGAGTGAGATGTGTGAAAGTCACAGACACGATAAGCACTGATTCCCTAATGGTCTCGACATTTCAGGCCCCGAGTCTTAGAGATAGTTCACATGGAAAGCACTGGCGGGGGCAGGGACGGAGGGGAGGTTGGGAGTTGGGGGGGGGGGCTCGGGCACAGGACTTAAAGGGAGCGGCAGGGCAGCAGAGCTGGGTGGAGGGATGTGGGGTGCAACAACGGGTATTTAGCACCATCTGGACATGGCCTGCACTTAAGGAGGGCAATATTCCCACCATTTGTCAGCCTGTGAGTATCACACCTCATGGAGGACCCCTAAGGTGTGGCTTCACACCTCCTGTTCTCATGCTGACACAGCTTACTCGGCAGCTGAAGATCAATATGTAAATACAAAGCGATGTTTTCATGCGTTGACTGGGCAGTGCCCTTTGGCCATTAACTTAGGCCCAAACCTCATCCTGGACATGGACAGGACGGGTCCAACCAAAGAGTCACCAGTAGCATTTACAGGTAATAGAGGAAAAACAACAACAACACCAAAAAAAAACCCAAACAAAATAGGCAGAACTGTAACCCTGCCAGGTGCAGATTTGACCTCAGGAAGACGGACAACGGCACGGCTCCTGAGAATGGGTTAGCATGCCACCATGTGAAAGAGTATGCTTCAAGTGGGGGGGGCAGCTCACTCTAAGTCAGTTCAGTTAGAGCCCAGGAGTACCAGGAGAACGTTACAATGCTGAGGTATGAGCAAGGTCCTAAGCTACTTTCTCAGGCTTCCTAAGTAAAACTGAGGCAGAGGGACGCTTCTGTGCCCACTGACCCCACATCACCCGCAGACCCACCTCTGCTCTGGCTGGGGCTTCTTGGACCCCACAGCTCAGGGACTAGCTTTAGTTTGGCAGCCCCCGCACGCTGAGCCTGTGGACCGGGCCTCTTTCCTACTGAGTCTGAATTTTGCTTCTAGGAGATGGGTCAATTCTGCCTCCCTGCCAAGCTGCTGGACCGTCGCTTTTGAGATTACAGGTGTCATTTCTGGGATTCGGAGGGACTGTCAGCGAGCCAGTCAGAGAGTGATCACTAAGAGGAGGGGAGAGGGACTACTGCAGGGCCCACAGATCTCCACAACGACGAGGTGGGCATGCCAGCCAGGGACACCAGCATTTCCCATGTCGTCTTTGCAGGACAAGGAGTTCCAGGGTTTCTGGACTGCGTTTCCATCCTCTTAAATGGAACTAATCACATTGTCTTGGGGGTATTCAAAGACCTGAGCAATTAAGGATTGCAAAGGGGTTTGAAAATATGTAAGCTTTCTGTAAAGGTGTATTTAATATTTATAGATAGGCTCCACAAACTATAATTGCTGGCGCAGGATTTAGATGTATGACTGACTTTTTTGAAGTTAGCATATTTCATTTTCAGTCAACTAGCTGATGTGTCAAAGGGACTCCTGTATCTTTACAGAGTCTTATTTGGAGAACTTAAGTTACAATCAAAGATGTGTCTTAAAACACTCCCGGTTAATTCACACAGACACTCTACAATCCAGATGACACAGCCCCACAGGAAAACCGGTTCCTGGCCCTCTAAAGCCCGGACTTGGGGGAAGGTAGCACAGTGATTTGGTTTCATCAAAATTACTTAGTGGGGCTATAAACCAAACCACAGACACTCCCTTCTACCCAAATGTCAAGAATTTTCTTTGTCAGTCCCTAAGAGCCAATCCCAAATGGGCCCCATGCCTTGGCAGCAGTGTTGGCAGATTGACTGTGACGTCAAGGTGTGAACTCAGACTGCAGCTGGGGAGGCGAGTCGTTAGAAGCCCGTTCCCACTGCAAGTCTGCGCAGCCCACTGCCCCCCAACCCCCCACCCCACCCCCGCTGCAAAGCTCCATCCAGTTCCCTTAGACAAAGGGCTCCCCTCCCCCACCAGCAGGACTGTGATTGGTGGTTGGTTAATGGTGACCTTGGTACCTCCCTCGGTCTCCCTGTCACCACCACTGGTCACGATGATGTCTTCCCCAAGGGATTAATTCACACAACACGACCCCAATCTTTCGCCATGGAGATGGGAAGAGAGTTTGGACTGCGGTTGTTCCCATCTTTCATCAATACAGAATTGAATGACTGGAAGGCCGGGCCTTCAGGTGAGCATAGCGCTCCACAGTCCCGGTGGCCCGAGGGGGGGGGCAGCAGTCACTTCCCTCTCCTGTCACCTCAGATTTACCTCACTGCAGCCAGAGGAAGAGGAAAGAATTCATTCTCCCAGAGTCACAAGAGTTCACAGAGGACGTCTTCCCGCACAGCTGCCGAATTGCTTAATGAAGAGTGCCACCCTGTGTCTGGTTAGGGAAAGCACAGTCAGGAACTGGACCTGGGGGGATTCTGTGATGGAATCTGGCCTCACTGGGCTCTAAGGGTACCTCGCCTTAACATGGTTTCTTCCCCCAGATCCCTCAAGAGGCAAAACTAGGAGGAGACCCCCACCAACAGCATCCTAGTTGGAAACGCAGCCCTCAGCGAGAGTGCCGTGTTTCCACTGACGCCCTGGTTGGATGCGTACCTGTGCCAGGGTTCAGATCCACAGGTAAAAGACACTTCTTGTGGAACCAAACGCGACTCTCAGCTGGGACTTCGGGTGAGGACCTGGAAGTGGCTGCTCTCTTCCCATTGGTTCACCAACAGCTGGAATTTCAGACTCATACAGTAGAGACACACCCACACATACCATCCCATGCATGACACAGACACAGTCTCGTGTGAAAGAGAGAATCCAAATCCCTTCCCATCACCCTCCTTGAGGGACAATAAAAGCCATCGGCATGGCTTCCCCTTTCCTGGTGCCAGTCAAAGGATGTACACAATGGCAATGTCAGCATCAGCACTGTGCAGATGATGAGGTCACCTCGTCAGGAGTTGGGGAGTCGGCCCTCCAGCCTGGTAAGATATGGAGGAGCCAGGATCTTCATCTGAGCGTGCCCACTTCTCCAGCCTGGGGTCTGCATTGCCAACCTTTCTTCTGGATGACCTCTGTGTTTCTGTTTCCGTTTCTAGGGTGGTTCTTGAGATGGCTGGTCTCTTCTGGAGGCCACTGGCAGAGATCCACACACAGGACAGCTGAGGAGTCAAGGACCCAGGATCTAACCAGGCCTCAGGCAGGGCTGTCAGCCCTTGACTCAGCACGCCTCCATGCCATCTCGTCCTAACATGTCCCACCAGTCTCCACGGCGTGGACCCTGACTCTGGTTCTTTGTGCTCTCAGAACACCAGCCTAGAACTTACAGTTCATCTCTCCCAGTACTGTCTCTAGCTTCTGGCCAACCTAGAGAGAGGTTTTGGAGTGGTGTCCACCCAGACAGGCTCATCCTGCTGGAAGTTATGAGGGGCAGTGCCCAGGACTACATGCTGAAAAAGTCATTCATCCCCCCTCCCCCATAATTCTTTTAGAATCTAAAACTGTGTGTATTTCTCCTATTGGTCTTCTGTTTGCTATCTCTTTTGTAGAGCTAAGAACTGGCCAGCCCTGAGTGACCAGGGCAGACCTTGTTTATAGGCACACGTGGCAACTGACTTGAACCAGATAGGTAGCACCTTCAACCAAGAGTTATTCAGATACTTTGTCTTCTGGTAACATGTGGGAGAAAGCAAGTCTCTCAACTTTTATCACCTGGCCTCATTCTTGTGTAGAAACATGCAGTTGACAATTCTGACAGCACACACACACACACACACACACGCACACACTTTTATTTTATCTTGTTTTTTTTAAGACAGGGTGTCTCCTTACACAGACCAGTCTGGTCCCAATCTTTTGATCCTCACGCCTCTGCCTCCCAAGTGCTGGAATTATAGGCATGTATCACCATACCTAACTGATACCCTTCTTTAGGAAAATGAAAATCAACATGGAACTCATGGTTAAAGAAAAAAAATCATCATTTAATTAACAAAGTGGGTTGGCAGGCAAGAACTACCAGTATTTGCTAAAGTTTGGCGAGGGTCCATGGAAAAAAGATATTTGTAAGGTTCAGGCATCAAATCTCTTTTTTTTTTTTTTTTTTTTTTTTTTTGGTTTTTCGAGACAGGGTTTCTCTGTGGCTTTGGAGGCTGTCCTGGAACTCGCTTGGTAGTCCAGGCTGGTCTCGAACTCACAGAGATCCGCCTGCCTCTGCCTCCCGAGTGCTGGGATTAAAGGCATGCGCCACCAACGCCCGGCTGGCATCAAATCTCTTTTTAGTCAATTTCAAAAGACAGATATCTCACAGTAAAGGACTCTGGCCTTGCCCTTTTGGAACAGTTATCAACTTCCACACCACAGCAATTCAGCCAGCAAAACGCCTCTTGCTGCTATGCAACAAATGGCACCGCACAGAGGGTAGACGCATCTCTAGGAGAAATGGGCTGGGGAAAGGCATGTGCATGAACTGCATGTGTCTGATGTGATTCAGGACGCATCTTCATGTACATGGACTCCATGTCCTTGAAGTGATGCAATGCGAGGTGCAGGATCCTGTGCCCTGATGTGACACACAATAACAAGTCATCATGCATGGGAACAAGATGTCCTTGAAGAGATGTAGAATTCATCTTCATGTCTGTGGGCCATGTGTCCTCTGTATGACTCCCTGGAGACATGGCACCATGTAGACATTGTTCCTTTAAATAAGGTGTTAAATCCAAGAGGCGGGTGGGTGGGGATCAAAGCCCACTGATGAACAGCAACTTGGCATTTTTACTCTTTCATCCAGAAGTTCACTTGTGTATGGTGGTGGGGTTTAAAACTACAAAGGAATCAGGAGAATGTGAGGCTGCCACAGAGTACCCCCAACGTCGCCTCTATAGTTCAGCGAGCGTCACAGAAAATTTTCCCTTGGCTGGCTGCAGGACATACCTGGCCACGGTTTGGAAGGTGGGTATGAGAAAACATGACCCCACTGAGATTGGTATAGCTAAGTGCATTATTACACATGCAGACAATGCAGCCTCCCCAGATTTTGCCACTACCAACCAAGGAGGAGTACTATCTTCCTGGATCCCCCCAAAAATGAGTGGCTTTTCAGGGAACTCTTGGGATTGAATGGTCTCTTCTCCTCCAGCTTTCCAGAGCCTCCTACACTCAGCCTTCGCATCTAGAAATGTGTTCTCTGCCAAATGCTCCCTGGGGCCCTGTGGTTCATCACCCAGCTTTGTGAGCTCCGCCTTCTCAGGCTGCCCCTGCTCGTTACTTACCCACAAAATGCACACAGATGAACACCATCCTGCCTGCGGGGACAACTGTACCCAGCCCGCACATCAAGCTGGGCCTATCCCTCACACCCACTGTTTGCATGGCTAGACCACAGCTAGAAGGACAGCTTCTAAGGATGAACACATGATTGACAAGACATGCGAAGTGACCACATCCTCCAATGAGCACATGAGGACATGAAAACCCAAATCCGCTGCAGGCATCAAGACTAGCCTAGGGGGTCACAATGACACCAAATGAGAAAGCTTCATAGAAGTACAGCTTGAGCCCTGAAGGAGAATTAAAGGGGCACCAGTAGACAGGGAAAGCAAAAGGAGGCTTCCTAGGATGGCGTCTTCTTGTTCCCAGAAGACGCTGTGAGCAGAGACAGCAGGCAGGGGCAGGACTCTAAACAGAACCAGCAAGGGAAAGGGGAGGACCTGCGGGCCCTATTAAAACACACACCACAGTGGGTCCCTCATATTCCTTTTCCATGCTTTCCCTCTCTCCATGTCTTGGTCCTCTGTCTCTCCTCGGTGTTCAATTATTTGTTCCTCCCATAGAACAACTCCCTTACCCCCTAGGACCACCAGCATCCCTGCTACATGGTCAGAATAACACAGACTCCATCCCACCTCTAGATGCTACCCAACTCACTTGCTGTTGCATCTGTTTGAGTCTTCTCTCATAGCCCAAAGGAGCCTGACTTGTGTTTTCTTTGTCAACTTGTGTCAGCTTGACTTGTGGCGTTTTTGGCTAAATGCATTAACATTTGTTTCTTCTCACTGAAAGTCCAAATTCTCAACAAAACTGCATGTGTCAGCTTGATGGTTTCATTCCATTTGTTCTTCTCCTGGTTAGTATAGGCCACTAGGTTCTCAGTGTATTGTAGGATCCATTTTAAGAACCTGTTAAAAAGACAGGGAGGAATTTTAGAGCAGGCGTTGGAGGCACACGCCTTTAATCCCAGCACTTGGGAGGCAGAGGCAGGCAGATCTCTGTGAGTTTGAGGCCAGCCTGGTCTACAGAGCTAGTTCCAGGACAGCCTCCAAAACAATACAGAGAAACCCTGTCTTGAAAAACAAAAAACAAACAAACAAAAGAAGACAGGGAGGAATTTTAGTTTGTCTTGTTCTATTACAGAATGTATTAGTGTACATGTCTTGTCTTCTCTTGGAGATATTCCTAAAAATTACTTAATTGTGTGTGTACTCAAGAAGAAATACATGCAAAATGAAGGTAAGGGAAACTGTTATAGAGAAAACAAAAGTTCCGAGATCAATGCTGTCAACATCAGGATGAGTTTTACAAGACTCAAGATACTTTTCACACTCTTGGATCCTGACACAATGTTCCTAAGTGACAGGACAGAATTCCAAAGACTTCAGGGTCACCTGACTCAGACTGAGACATGACAGACACACGAGAGAAGGTCCTGCCCACAATTCCCTCTGGGTGCCAATGTGGCACGCCTGGGCTTTCTTGCCTTTGTGCTGCCATGTAACTCTGAAGAGGAAACACCACTGCTACCAAACAACTGTGTCCACTGAAAACAGTTTTTCTTAATGGCAGCAAGTTCCAGCTGCTTAAGGTAAACATTTTTAAGCTTTCAGATTTCCCCTCAGTTTTCTGAGTAGTGTAGACTTTCCCATAAGTATTTGTATTTGTAATTTTCATAAACGTATGTTAAATGAATGGCACAATGAAGCCCACAAAGCCGTGGTCTAGGGAGTGGCTCTTCGCAGTTTTATTCCTCAGGACATTTGGTGATGTCCCTGGGAAACTGCTACTAGCATATGGCCAGCTGCCATGGATGACACCTAGTACCACACAGGACGCAGAGACGGCGCAGACCACCCACCAGTGTACAACTGAAGCGTGTGAGTCACTTGGATGTGAGGGTGGAAGTCCTAAGTCTGAAACTGTCAGCTGTGTCCAGAAAGTTAGCATCACATTATATAGCGAAGATGGGCAGGGGAACCTGTGGGGGTTAGAACGTCACCAAAGGAACGTCTCCTTTCTTCCGAGCAGGCAGGCGAGCCTTACCTCAGGTACTGCTGGCGTTCCTGAGAATTTTTACCCTGGACAGCATGCACACTGATCACTTCCAGTGCAAGGAGCAACAAAGTCAGGTGAAGCATAGGAGACAGGAGTCTAAGACTGAAACAGGAGAAAGCAAAGAAGACTGTGACAGAGCCATTTCCATCTTCACAAGGAGAGCAGCACTTCACCTAATCAGCACCTTCTCAGTTACAAACATCTCATACAATGCGTTTGGATCACGTTCTTCCTGCTTTTCCAATCCCTCCCGGATCTTCCTACACATCCAACTTCACGTTTGTAAGTGCGCTCTCTCTCTCTCTCTCTCTCTCTCTCTCTCTCTCTCTCTCTCTCTCTCAAAATCACAACACAATACATACACAAAACAAAATGAAAATCAAAACAACAACCAAAACAGAATGACAAAGGAAAAAAAGTCAAACAAAACAGAAAGCATGTAGTTGGTTTTGCCAACACCTTTTTTAAAGTAACTCTAAATCCAACTATCTGGGAAGACAGTTTTCCAGGCTTTACCTGCCTGCTCTGCCCTGCCCCAATCCCTACCTTCCAAGTCCACAGGAGCTTACAGCCCAGCCCCTCCCTGCCCTTCACAGTCTGGTCACAAAGTGCTTCCATCTGGGGCAGCAGCCACCACTTTGAGTCTGGCTCGGTCCCAGCTGCCTCCAAGAGCACTCACAGGCCAGCCATCACTAAAGGCTGCTGTCAGGCGCCACGCTCTGTGACCACCAGCACCAAGAGCAGAGAGTGTGCTTTAACTTTGCCAGATTCCAGAAATTCCTGTTAAAGCCCGACCTCATTTTGTCCGTGAGACCAGCAGAATGCTGAAAAACTCTTCACCCCGTTTTGAGAGGGAAGTGATGTCATAGCACTCCCCTATAAACTACCTGAGTGCACACTGAGAAACTTCTGGAAGGCAATGGACAAGCAAGTGCTCTGAGAGGCCTATGAAACACCACACCACTCAACCCAAAGTTCTAGAAATGTGTCCAAAGCAGCTATTTCTTAAGGAAATGTGAAGAATCGTAGTGCTGGCAAATCTAAGAAACTGTGCTCTGGGGCTTAAATCCAGAGAGTCATTTTGGGTGGTGGGACCCACTCCCACGGGCTAAATTTAAAGTTTCTGCAAAGCAGTGTGCACTGCAATTGTTCTCTGGAAGGATCAGCCCCCACCCACGCTTGAGTAAGAGGGGAGCGGCCTACCTGTTGAGCATGCGCAGATAGTTCTGCCGCTGCCTGGAGCGCAGCTTGCGCTCCACCCACTGCCGGTGTCTCAGCTGCAAAGAGGCAGTGACCTGGTCACATACACACTGGCACTGGGAGCTGATGCCCCGGAGCACAACCAGAACTTCCAGAACAAGTCTGGGGCAGAACAAGGTGGGGATGCGTGCGCTGCAGAGCTCCTTGAGCAGCCGGGGCCACCTGCAGGTGAGAGGTAACATTCAGGGGACACACAACACCAGGGGGTGCCACCATCAGCTCTTTCTCTGAATGGGAATTGGTTTGGGGTCTGCTGGTGCAGGCGGGACCTCGGCAAGTGACAGGCAGGTAAAAATGGAACCGCAGTGAACAGAGTACACACGGGTAACTTCACCAGAAGCATGGTACTTGCACGGAGATCACCTAACCTCACTTGATGACCTCTTTGGGGACAACATACCAAACTGCTAATGCTTAGAATGGAAACACTGAGTCTGCATCACAAATTTACCAGGTATGTTTCTTCAGTACTCACTTCTCCGGGGGAAGACCATCCAGGCCATCTACGGCACAGGTACTCCCAGGCATATGGTGGCAGAACTCACACAGAATCTTGCTAATTAAAGAGTTGCAGGCATATGCTTCAGAATTGCCTTCCAATCTGAAGAACATACAGCATTTTAGGTGCATATTTCAATAATTAAAATCCCCACATTACTGATGATATAAATGATGTTTAATGCTCAGTGAACTTGACCTAAAATTCTGTTTCCCCAACACAAATGAAAATAGGCATCATGACAGGATACAAGAATGGCATGAGAAGCTGAAAGCAAAGTGACCTGTGGCTTGGCCCAGAGCTACTACAAGTGTGTCTGCTTTATGCTGCAGTCCCAGATCTGAGTTCCTCCCTTTCTTCCTAAGCCCAGACCTTTTCCATGTCTGCCGAGCCCTTACTGAAGGGCGTCTTGTCTTCCCAACAGATTCCTCCAGCCTGTGCTCAGCTGCCGGGAGGTGGCCATTGCGGTGCTGACTGCAACTGCCAGCCATGGTCTACACGACCGGACGACACATGCAACAATGTAGGTGACATACACCCCAGTGCAGAAGACACGCACCTGGCTGCTTCCTGATGCGGCTCTTCCGGCGTAGGCAACACATCCCACATCCTGAGGCTTTCCTCACAGCTCAGCACCTGGGAGGAAATAATGGGAGGCTTCAGGTTTTACTATATCCGAGAAAGCGTGTTTTCGACTGTCATGGATATTGAATCACTTTCTAGAAAATATCTGTAAAACTGTTACAGATTGCAAATCTGAAAAGCAACGGTGAGCTCAAGCGTTTCACATGTTCATGGACTGTTAAGACTGCTGCTGGTCCTTGCTGTTGGGGTGATGATGAGCATGTTCACACACATGACACCCTCAGTTTAGGGGGGGCCTACGTCCCCTCCTCTGCACTGTGACTAGTTTTGGCAGTCTGGTGAGTGAGAGTAACAGCACAGATGAGGCAGCCATGTCAACACTGCCAACAACTTGCCAGGACCCGGGTGACACCACACAACAGATCCTTCAGCAGGTCCTGCCCCACAATGTATGGGCAAATTAAGTCACGGCTGTGTGGACGTCACTGACTGGGAGCAATCATCTTCTGCAGCAGCAGTAATGAGAGCAATGACCTTATGGAGCACAGGACATGGGGCTGTCACCAAGTAGTAGGTGGACAATAGGTGAGGGTCCAAAATAGCCAGGGTGCTACCAGGGGCCGCAGAAGAGGACAGCCAAGGGCACAGGCTGGGAACTCAGCAATCAGGTCACCTGGCAGTCTACCATCCAGAAGCTTCCTTTCCTTCCAGAACCTTCCCTCCTGTCTTCCCTGTCTTTTTAAAACGCTGGTCCCTGTAGGGAAGTTCTGATGCTTCTACCTTTATAATGGTATCTTGGGAAGAAGACTCATGAGGGACACCGTCCATGCTGCTGCCCCCAAACCACGACCCACTGGCATAGGATGGAGCTAATTTGCTGACTTGCCTGTCCTCACCCATACCGCTTCAGCTGTCTCCTCCCAACTGACATGTCCCTTTGGAGGAAGCGTCTTAAGATTTAGGAAGCTTATGGAACTTACAAGATTCAAAAGCCTCTCCCCGTGGTTACAAAAGCAGAGGACGACTGCTGGGAAGAAGATGCTCTCAGCCCAGCTGATCACCCTCTGTGTAGAGCCCTAGGGCGGTCTTTGTGAGTTGTCACCTCTGCTGGGATGGACATCACAGCCTCAGCTGCCTGAGGCATCTAGGCACCTGTAAGTCACTCCCCCAAACTCCCTGTCTTACTAAGCAGACTTGGGTGGGATGGTCTCTTTGGTCTGTTTGTTGGTGCCCTGGGAGAATGGTGTTGTTCCCATGTCCCCAGGAATGTCTCACAGTGTATGTGCTTGTCCTAAGGCAGCACTGGTCACTGGGTCTTCCCCTACACTCATATACAGGTTTACAGCAGCCCCGTGAGACTGTGCTCTCTTGCCAGGTCTGTGCAAGAGCCATTCTGAGTGTGACATCCATGGGGGTTCCTGCCTCCTGCCAGACACAACATAAAACGTCTGAGGGCTGGGGAGATGGCTTGGTGGTTAGCAGCATGTACGGCTGCAAAGGACCTGAGTTCAGTTCCCAACACCTGCTGTGTGGCTTACTATTGCTTATAACTCCAGCTCTAGTGAATCAGAAACCTCTGGCCTCCGAGACCACTTGCAATCATACATCCTACAGAAAGTATTTTTTTTTTTAAGTATAAAGCATTTGAAATAATCCCCAAATTGGAACTACCTGGTAGAAATGCTTGGAAGTTTGTTTTTAAAATTATAAGTTGACAGAAAATTGTCTTATATGGTAGAAGAAAAAAAATGACATTCCTCACTTGATAACACTTGCTTCTCCCTCTGGGCTGAGTCCAGTAACAGCAGCTATCTAGGCTCTGTGTTAAATGCTGCACCCGTCATCCCTGAGACTGAAAACACCTGCAACTCTGAGACACAGAACTTGAGCTACAAGCCCCGAACAGCAAGTGGCCAACTGGTCAGAAGCCTGTCAGGACAAAGTCCTGGGACCCCTCTGATGTCTCTGAAGGAAGAGCAGTGCCACACGTGTCCCCTCTCCCAAACACTCTGCACTTGGCATACCTGTTTTTGAAGCTGGAAGGCTGGGTGGCAACGGGATCTGTAGCCTTCAGCTAGACTCACCAGCGACTGTATTTGTGCTTCCTCCTAGTGTAAGAACACTGATGTTAGTCACTAGAGTTTCACACTGGGCGTGGTATCGTCTTCTGAACCACAGTCACTTAGAGTCCTAATCTTTCACGATCTTCTCAAAACAATCCTACTCATCTGGAGGAGCATGATAAAACTCTATACTACAGGGGGATGGACCTGGTAGAAAAGGGAGCTAAGAGCCACCATAATTTACAAAGATCACATCTGTGCAGTCCATAGCATAGCAAAACTAAAAAAAACATACAAGGAGAAAAAGATACCAAAACAAAAGGAAAAATGTTAAGGACTGAAAATCAATACAATCAGAAGATAATTGTATGAACACAAACAGTTAATTGCTAAACATATAAATACTAAAAAAACAAAGATAATGTAGTATATCCCAACAGCTGTTACAAATGCGTAACTGAAAACCCACATCAGCCGTGTAAAGTGAGGGGGCCGGAGCTGGTGGAGGTCAGAAGCAGAGGCTGTCCCATTCTCAACCACAGAGCAGATGACTGAAACGACACAAGACCAGAGAGTGCCGGGGACATGTGCCGACTCCCCATCCCCTGACAACTGCTGGCCTGAGCCACAGGCATGGACGGACTGACGGACGGACAGCGTGGGCAGCACCCTCCCAGCAAGGCAGAGGCTTGTGTGAAGGGGATGAGTGCTGGGATAGGCACCAGGGGACACTGAAGGCCCTCAGGCCAGCAGAGAGCACCCCCTTCTGCTCGAGGACATGAACGAACAGACAGCCTCTACAGTGTTTGTGTTGAGAAAAGGGAAGAGGGAGGCTGCCAGAACAAGTGCCCCTCCAGGAAGTGAAGGTGACTGGGCCAAGCGGTGGTGATGGGAGAACACTGAGGAACCGATGCAGATGTATTTCAGGACACAAGACTGAGGACAGACTGTGAACACAGGGAAGGAGGCTGGGGTCTGCAAGCCTCAGGAGCTGCCTTTGGAGATGGGAGGGTGGCGTCCTGAGGTCAGGACATACTTGTTATTGATGACCTGTTTCTTTGAGACAGGGTCTTATGCATCCCAGGCTGGGCTCAGACCCCATGGAGCTGAGGATGACCTTCTGATCCTTCTGTCTTTATCTTCTGAGTGAGGGCTGGGATTACCATATCAAACCCAGGTCTTCATGTATGCTAGGCAAGCACTCTGCCAACTGAGCTACATGCTCAGTTTCTGAGTAGTGCTCAATACAGTAAAAGATGTCAGTCTCCCCATGTGGCTCCACTAGCTTATTCTCTTCAGGTTGTTTTTTGGGGTCTGTGTTTACTTTAATGACACAGCTCACATGGAATATGAACAGTGAACAGACAAGACAGTTCTGAGGAGACAGCAATGGGAGTTGTTTTTAGTGTCTGGAAAGCACTAAACTATGTCATGGAGATTCAGCAGAGAGCAGAGCTTCCAGCAACAGAGTCCAGGGCTGGAGCCGATGCACCCTGAATAAAGATGTCAATTCTCTACACGGTGTTCAGAAAAGTTGCTAGCAGCTTCATCAAGTAAACACGGAAAACTCGATTCTCTACCTCACTCCCAAGAGGAACAAAATTTTACTTGGAGGAAAAGATAAAAGACACTGGGGAAACTATGGTTATGTTTATAATTTCTGGAATGACATCAGAGGCAGAGGCTACAGCAAGAAACAGGTGGTGTGTCACTGGAAACAGCAGCGAGGTTGACAGCGTGGGAAGACACAAGTGAGCAGAGACCACGCAGGAACGGCAGCATCGGTGAGGAGAAAAACCAGTCCTCGCTGCTGTTGGCCACAGGCTTTCCTTCTGCAAACTTACTAGCATAGGCACCCAAACGAACAGGGTCCTTCAGGTCACCACTACAGCCAAAGTCCCATCAGTCAAGGGGCAGCTCTCATATCAATGGAGACCATTTACATGAATGATGGTCTACTGGTGCAATGGAATGATAGACAGCTAACAAAAGAGGAGGCACAACAGAGGTCCAAAAACACACTAGTGAAAAGCACGCTTAAAGACAAAGCATTTCTCCCTATGAGCCTACTTGGAGATACTCACGGAAAGAACAGAGAAGCAAGGACATCCAGCTAATAAATTTTCAATCTCGCTTGGACTTTTAAACAGTTTAAAAATAATTGTCATATATAGTCTGAAAACAAAAATACCACCTACAATGTTGTAACTGAAATTATTTACTTTAAAATAACAAAATCATTAATTTCAGAAATGCAAATACCCCGCGTTCCATCAATTTGACATACTTGTAGGAGTTCTCTCCATTTGACTAATCATTTTTTATAACTGTTCTTTGATTTTTACCATCAACACTGCTATTATTAAGAACAAAGACAAAGACATATTTAAGAGAGAACAAATTATTTCAGATTCAGAACTATGATTTTCAGAGAATGCATTCATGTATGTTGTTAATTTACAGCTATTCTGATGGAGTAATGCTGTAATTCAAATTAAAATGAAAAATGATCAATAGGTAATCACATTTGAAAAATCAGACATGTTCTTCCACTGCTAGTGGTGGCAAGTTCTGCCAGCCGCCCTCCTCCCTGCGGTACCTTCAGCTCTGACAAGGAGCCTTCCTCAGTGAATCTGAGCAGAAGCACCAGGGAGAATGTGAGCAGCTGGCTTGCTGCTTCTTTCGGAAATTCACGTAAGTTGATCTCCCCATGGCTTAAACGATCGCGGATACGAGGACCCTCCTGATGGTTCAGGAAATCCCACAAGAATTCCTTTTAAAAAATTAACAGAGAAGCGTCCTGTTAGTGTTGTGGCAGAGGGGAGAGCAAGAGGCCGGGTTCCAGGCGGCCCTGGTTTGTTTGCAAACTGATGGGAAATGTGAGTCTCAAGGAGGGTGTTCACCCGTCCTGCAGCTGGAACCGTAGTGGGGACCTCTTGCTCCCCAGCCTGCCTGCCGGAGCTGAGCACCAACCACCGAGGCAGCTGCCTGGAAGGGGTTGCTGCCTAAGGCACTCATATCTTTGTCATTCTTACCCTCCTATGTCGAAGGGAAATAAATGTTGCTAAAGAGCATTAAGTCGTTGCTCTTGCTTGAATGAGCACAACCAAGCGGGTGTCCCTTGGCCCACCCCTTCCCCTGCATCCCCGCCCCCCCATGGACTACTTCTGCATCCTACATCAACAAAGATAGCTGCTCCCTCCTCTCACAGCACAAGCCCAAAGCCAGACAACAGAGACAGACGTCAGAAAGTCACGGATGTGGGTAGGCTGCCAACAGAGGAAGAGTCCAGGGGACTCAAGGCAGAAAAAAAAAAAGAGAGAGTATCAGATAAATTAGTCGTCTGAGGGCAGGAAGGGGTGACAACACCACATGAGGAATGGGAAGTAGAACCCAGATCTTCTCTCAGTGAGATGGAGTAGACACAAAGTATCTACTATAGTCTAGAGCAGTCACTGTAGTACCCTCGTAAAATATAAAACGATGGTTAAAACATTAATTCTATTTCATCCAACACTGAATCTTAGGGGCATTTGATTGTTGCTAAGTTTTACAAAGCAAATATAATCCTTTCTTTAGTAGAAATACATAGAACCAATAAATAAAAATAGTGTTTAGAAAGAGGGTAGCCAAGTCATCAGGCATTCAAAGGGAAAGATAGTCACAGGAATAAACAAAGCCCAGAGCCCACGCATAGTCACCCCTGAGGAGTGTCTGTGACAAGACCAGATGTCAGGTCAGCCCCTGAGCACACCACAAATCATGTTTACTCTACTCTAGATGCCAGCGTGCTCATAAACAGAGAGAGGAGAGACTGGAGACACCCAATACTTTACCATGGCAGGGTCTCCAAGGAAACGAGGAAGCTGGTTAATGCTACCATCATTCAAGTGTTTTGCCAGTATCTAAAATAGATTAATCAATAAGCTGTTTAACTGACACACACACACTACATAACCAAACTCATGTACCTACACATATATGGACTTTGATCTGTACACGTACAATTAGAATATTCATATTTCTAAAGTTTTGCACTGGTTAAGGACAGCTGTTCTCAATAGTGGATATATCCAACAGTGTCAATCTGTTTGCATTTTCATACTTTTTGTTTTGGACAACTACAGAAATGAGATTAATAATAGTGAGCCTCAAAATTAACCTGAAAGCTTTATTCAAATTCATTTATTTGAAACAGAGTTTCATATATTACAGGTTGCATTCAAATCCTGCCTCTATCTCACACGTGGTAGGATGACAGGCATGCCTACCATGCTGGAGACTAAGCCACAGCCTCATGAATGCCAGGCAAGCAGTCAATCTACTGAAGTGCGGTTCCAGGGCTACATGTAAATCTAGCATAAGCTGCTTCTTTTTGCTTATCAACACTTTTTCCTGTATGCATGCTACTTATAGTTCATCTCTGTGGTTCTTATTTGTAGTATTCAATTGTTTTACATTTATTCATCTTACATGCATGAGTATTTTGCCTGCATGCACATATGGGCACCGGGTACATGCCTACACATGGGTATGAGCCACCGTGTAGGTGCTGGGAACCAAACAAGGGCTCCTAACCACTGAGCTGTCTCTCCAGCCCTAACCATTGTGTTTTAATTTGTATTTGAAAGATGTTTCTTTTAAAGGTTTTTTGCATGTTTGACTACTTACTTCATCAAATGTGGTATACAGAATTGTTGACTGCACAAAGGGGAAGAGATAAAAGAGAAATAATTAAAACAAATGGTAACATAATATCATTCAAAGTCAAAAACAATTCTGGCCCTCAGAAGGTGCTACTGCTTTCATAACGTTATGGAGTTTAAAGGACAATTTGGAAACAGAATTATCTTACATAATCACAATTAAAATAAATGTGTGCTTTAGCAGCAAATAAACTGTGGTGTGTGTGAGTCTATGTACATGTGAATGTGTGAGTGTGTGAGAGTATGTATGTGAGTGTGTGTGTGTATGTGTGAGTGTGTGAAAGTGTATGTGTGAGTGAGTGTGTGTGAGTAAGTGTGTGCTGTCAGGGACTGAACCCAGGTTGTTTTCCATATTAAGCAAGTGCTTAGACAACTTAGCTACATCTCCAGCCCTTAAAGCTTTTAAATAGCCACAGAAAATTAAATTGCCAACACAGTATCCACAGTCACAGTGAGTAACAGAAGTGTGTCTACCTCAGCTGTAAGGAGTCTATCAGGACACTTGTTAACTGCAACAAAAACTCTCCTGAGTCCGGCTTCTAGCTGTGACAGCAGCAGCACAGTGCAGTCAGCAAACCTGTGGGACCCGAGGAAATCAGCAAGTGCAGCAACAACTGCACTGGAGCCCAGACACAACCAGTGCGGCCCTGAGAGCAAGGATGGACTCACGAATGTGAGGGGCAAAGTAACAGGATCCAATTCTAATTAGACCGGCGCCTTTAAAACCATTTTTGGGGTATTTTAATGCTTGACGAAATATTTTTAGTAGTATTTTTAGTAGTTTCAGCAGAACAAAATGTCATCAAAGATCTATATGTGCTGCATGTCACTTCTGAGAATGGCCAGAGCAGCAAGCCTCTGGGGAGCAGCTCAAGGACAAAGTAAATCTGAGAATGAGGTTGCCTGAGGGACATGCTGGGCCTGGCTTTCACACAGGGTTGGTCTTTGAGGGAATCTAATGGCCAAGCATACTTGTCCCTTGTCCTTTTCTTTTCCTCCAAGGTTCTCTAATGCTAGGTTTAATTTTTTTCTTAGAGTAGAAACTCACAAAAAATACTAATAAGTTTATTCTGAAAAAAAAAAGTTATATAGCTGAGTGGTAGTGGTGTATGCCTTTAATCCAAATACTTTGGAGGCAGAGGCAAATGGATCTCAGTGAGTTCAAGGTCAGCCCAGTCTACAAAGTAAGTTCCAGGACAACCAGGAGTGTTACACAGAGAAACCCTGTCTCGAAAAACCAAAAAGAAAAAAAAAGTTACATCAGTTGCACCAAGAGGATGGCAGGGAACACATGAAATAGTTACAGCTTGCCTAAGTTATTAAAGGAAGATACTCTGTATTGAGCCTAATCTGAGTTGGCCTCTCCTCTACTTTCTCTGCCAGGACAGTAACTGAGCTTTGAACAGCAAAGGGCACGGGACAGGTCTGGCATGTAAGAGCCAACAACACCACGACACCCTTGTTACCTGTGCAACTTGAACTTGGTCACTGCCGCTTCCCAGTATGGTAACATGATTTTTAGGAAGAAGGTGGATTTCACCAGCACCTTCTCTAATGCTGAGAGCACCTCGTAAGTAACGCCTGTGAGAGAGCAGGTACCGTTATAAACACAAACACAGCAGCCAACTGAAAGAAGTCAGGAATGCTTCCCTGGGACAGATACTGTGGCCTGGGGTAGAGCACCCCTAAAAGGAAAAGCCCCCGACCTGCAGCCACAGTGGAGTGACCTCAGGAAGCTCGCCAAGGGGAAAGATGGGCAAATGAATCTCTTCAGGGACTTGGGCAGCAACTGAGAGAGGGGCTCAGGGTAGCCTCGTTTAGTGCGTTGACCAAGAGGAGTGGGTGTGTTCTCAAAGGATGTGGGCAAGCCTTTCTATTCCTGGTGCAGCAGATAAAATGGCCATTAGCACTGATGCAGACGGGGCGGGGGGCGGGAGAAAAACAGACACCATGAATGATGAATGGCCCCAGGATGTTCTGAATGGTAGCGCATCTGAGGCATCTGAGGAAGAGGCAGCTCTAGTTGTGACTCTCAGGGTCCCCCACAGCACCCAGAACAGCCAGAAGAAGTAACGTTTAAGAAGTTTTCAAGTAACTTACAAAGCCTGCTTGGCAATGATAGGTAATGACTTCACCAAGAATTCAAGTCTGATGCTACTTAAAAACTGTGCAAATACCTCCATGAAGACACAGTAAGGGGTAGTGTGGAACACAGAACTTGCCAGGAAAGACCGTCACATCCTCTAGGTTTGTAAGGGTTACAAAAGGTCGGTGTGCCAATGGGACTTTGGTTTGGTGAAGGTAAGTCTTCAGTAACTGACCCAGTCCCGCTGTCAACAACAACATAGTTGAACAGTATCTAGGGAAGATCAGAGAGCAGAAAGTGAACTTAGTCATCCATACAAAAGGACTTTCCTTAGGAAAAAATGCTAAAATGATGCAAGAAGGAAGACTGAGATGGTTCAACAGTTAAGGAAACTACAGCCAAGCTGAATGAGCCCAGTTAAATCCCTAGACCCACATTTGCAAGGAGAGAACCATTCCCCACAATCGTCCTTTGATTTCCACACAAATGGTGTAGTATATGTGTGCATGGATAAATGAATATAAAAGAACTGAGAAAGAAAACTATCAGATTCTGGAACTCTCCATAGATGGTGTTAAGCTGCACAACAGCTAGGAATGCCATTAAGATTTTGAAATGCCCGGGCGTTGGTGGCGCACGCCTTTAATCCCAGCACTCGGGAGGCAGAGGCAGGCGGATCTCTGTGAGTTCGAGGCCAGGCTGGACCGACAGCCTCCAAAACAGAGAAACCCTGTCTCGTAAAACCGAAAAAAAAAAAAAAAAGATTTTGAAATGCCTGGGCTTTCTATCCGTCCAGGCTTCTGTCTCTGCTCTTCTCGGGGTGCAAGGCATCGAAACACACCATCACCACTCTAGCTGCTCCGTTGTTAACGTGCAACCTCACCACTCAAGTCTCAAATTCTCCCATCTTTCACAATTAATCCTTTCCTCCTGAGAGATTCAAGATACAGCAAATACTGAAGCAGATTAAGGAAGAAAGCTACTTAGCCAACAACTTACTTTGGAGGGATGTCTTGGGGGGAAGCAAAGCCATGCCACAAGACGTTTCTCAGGTTGAGTCCACAGGGAGACCCGATGAAGACTTTCAGTACGTCCATCTAATCCATTAAGACAGCATATTACTGACGAGTAAAGTGAATAAACGCAATCCTACAGTGTTTGCTTCTCCCTTAGAACTAAGAGAGATGGTCTCTGCCAACATAAAGTGGTAACAATAATGAAACCAACATTACATTTTATGCATTTTCATTTAGTGCGAGACAGTACAGAGGTCATAGGACAACTTGTAGGGGCTGATTGTCTCCTTCTATTGTGTGGGTGCTGGGGACTAAACTACAGTCACCAGCCTTGTTGGCAGGTACCTTGACCCAATAAGGCATTTCACTGGCCAACATGTATTGAGTATTTACCACATGATATGCACATTTTTGAATGATCCACCAACTTTATCTCCAGAACTTTCTTATCTCCTTTGAGGAAGGCACTATCATTTCCTACTGTGCAGGGAAAATAACACAAGTGAAGAAGGTGACGCTGAGGTTCCAGAGGCCAGACCGTCAAGGCAGTCCTGGGATGAGGAGCTGACTCAGAATGCATGGCTTTAACACTGTTCATCAGAGGTGCCCAGGTTCTGAACACACAGAAAACGATGGATACAAATTCCATACCAGAGTTTGTGGGCCCGTGTGGTTAAAAAAAAAAAGAAAAAGAAACAGGATGAGAACAGCAGCCATAGGTAGGCAGCATCCAAGTCCTGTGTCCCCACCTCCCAGACAAACTCCTGAGAGAGGACAGTCGGCCCTCAGGAAGGAAATGAAAGCAGTGTTGGTGTATGTGGGGCCGCTGCAGAGCAGAGGAGAGAGGTGCTTTCTGAGCCTCAGAACCAGCGGATGGAAAGCTCAGAGGGTTCAACCCAACACCAGTGCTCAATAGTCACATCTCTGGAGTAACCTCAGGAGCCTCTGCTTCCCATTTTATATACCAAATACCATCTGTCAGTGGCTGCAAGAGATCACCAGAGGCTAAAAGTGGCCGTCTGCCTCACTGAGCTCCCTGTGTGGCACCATTTAGTCTGAACTTGCTCTATAATATTCTGAAAAGTATAGAGGCCTCTATAGCTTCCTCCCCAGTTGTACGTTTGTTTTACCAATATACGTCTGAATGATGACTGCAAAAGGTGTAGATTCTGACTTGTTAGAAACATAGGTATTTTAGGACAAACATGTAACACTATCATTCCAAAGTGCTACAGATAGTCCGTAGTGACATTTCTAACAGTCTCTCTGGCTGGACGTGTATGGTTATTCTGGCACCGTCAAATCTGGGGAGGGACATGCTGGGGACTGTGGAAGTGGGACAGCCCCAGAAGGAAGAGAGAATACACTTAGGTCAGTGAAACAGTTAATGTTTCCCCAGAGTACGGCAGCTTTTGGAAGATCAAAAGTGCAGCTCATGCCAGCTGCTCTATGCTTTATGAATTGCTTACATACTTACCTCAGCATGTCCAAAGACTTGTGAAAGCTCTGCAGATGCAAGAAGATCTCTCAGAAGAAAGGGGCAGTCTTTCCCAATCAGTAGAAATACCTAAAATTCATATGGAAATCATAATTACATTGTGAGGAGATACTTTAAAACAGAGCATGACTTACGATGCATAGCACAAATGGACAAAGGAAAGTGCTTAGACATAGATGTCTTTTCGTGCACACGCATGTGTGTGTGTGTGTGTGGTGTGTGTGTGGTGTATGTGTGTGTGTGTGTGGTGTGTGAGTGTGTGGTGTGTGTGTGGTGTGTGTGTGGGGGGGGTGTGTCTATGGTGTGTGTGTGTATGTGTGTGTATGGGGTGTGTGTGTGGTGTGTGTATGGTGTGTGTGGGTGTGTAATGTGTGTGTGTGGTGTGTGTGTATGGTGTGTGAGTGTATGGTGTGTGTGTGTGTGTGTGTGTGTGTGTGTGTGTGTGTGTGTGTGTGTGTGTGCTGGCTGTACACCACAAAGCCAGAGGAAGACATCGGGTGTCTTACTCTATTACTCTCCATCTTATTCCCTTGAGACAGGGATCTAGATTGGAGGCCAGAAAGTCCCAGTGATCCTCCTGTCTCTCCCTGACCCCAGTGTGGGGCTTCAGGGGGTGTAGCAGCAGCCATACGTAGGTGCTGTAATCTACATTCAGGTACTCATGCTTACACAGAAAGTACTTTGATCTACTGAGACAGCTCCCAGCTCACAGGTACCAGGATTTCTTAATTATATAAAAAGAAAATCATTGTATTTACAGGAAGATAATAATAAAAACCAAGAAATCTGTTTTTATGTTCATCAGGGTAATCTAGCAAACACCAAGGATTCTCACTCACATCGCCTAAGGCTCGTTCCAGACAGGAAGTCAGTTTCATCACACTGAGGGAGATGGCCGGAGAGTGCAGGCTTTCCAAGGCATCAAATACTTCAAGAAACAACTATTCAGAGCAAACACACATTGAACTCAGATTCAATGAAAAATCATTCTCAAAACAAAAATTATTTTTAAGTTACTATGACTGAATTCAAGCCTCTTAGTATTTCAACTACTACATTTAAATTATGGTATAAGCAAATAGTTTCTATTGAAATGCTATAATAAAAATATTCAATATCTTTAAATGTTTGTTCATTATTATGATTGGCATAATAATGAAACTGAATATTTTGACCTACTTATTTCCCATAATGATTTAGCTTAGTTCCTTTATAAGACAGCTTACCTTACTAGACTCTGTTTTAGAATCGGACATGTTATAGGTACTGTTTTATTATAGTCCTTTAACATGTCAAATGAGACAGAGGAAAAGAAAAAACAAACCACACAAGACTTGCAATAGGACCCAAATGACTACCTTTTTTTTTTCAATTCACTGTAAAGGAACCAAGCACCTACTATCTGATACCCTAACCTTGTCATCTCCCTGGGAGTTCTGTCCTGATGCTAACACGGACTTTATCTGCTAATGCTGTGGTAGTGTGAGTAGGAATAGTATCGTGTCCCCCCCCCCCAGACTGATGTGTTTGAATGCTTGGTCTGCAGGGAGTGACACTGTTAGGTGTGGCCTTGTTGGAGGAGGCGTGTCACTAGTAGGTAGGCTTTGAGGTCTTGGAAACTCAAGCAAGTTTGCTTCCCATCGCTTGTGAATCAAGATGTAGAACTCTCAGCTGCCTCTCCAGCACCATGTCTACTTGGATGTGGCCATGCTCCCTGCCATGACAATAATGGACTGAACCTCTGACACTGTAAGCCAGCCACATTTAAATGTTTTCCTACATAAGAGTTGCCATGGTCATGGTGTCTCTTCACAGCAACAGAAACCTATCTAAGACAGATGCCTGCCTAGGTGAGCCCAAAAAGTGTTCAAAGTGGTATGCTCCCTCAACTCAGGGCTCAGAGCATATTTATAAAGTATTTAGACTTCTCTCGAAGCTCCCAGGACCTCTTCAAAGTTGGGTGGTCAAAAATGGAAAAAGGACACTTTTAACTTGGCAAGTAATGAGAATTTCCAATTTGCAGTCTTTTGTTTCTAAAGATATGCATATGTCAAACCTCCGGATAGGCTGTCCACTGGAACCATGGTGAATACTTAATTTCAAACTGTGCCCTGGACAGAGATAAGATATGTAGATGGATGGCCTCACACACAGGACCCAGCAGCCGCACACTTCCCCTGTAATCCAGATTCTGCCCTTGTAGGAGGAGAAGATACATTTTAGTTCCACGGCTCTGTGTCACGTGATAAAAGAAAATTGAAAAAAAGTCTAAATCAAAGAAAAGCTTTAATTACAAGATGCTGATAAAATCAAGCAGCTTATAGTTGGACATATGGTAAATGTACTTGCAGCTCAGTAGAAACAAATTGTAAAAGGCTTCACTATTAGTAGAGAATGTGTAGCCGTAGCTCTAGTTTCTCATGATCAACTACAAAAATATCGAATCCTAGAAATGATTCACACTGTCAATTAGATGCTGTTCCCAGTAATGTGATGAGAGGTACTACCCCATTCTGTCCTGTCCTTTATCCAGAATACCCACGCCGTATGTACACTTAGTGACTAGTTGATCCAGGCCGGAGACTGATTCCAGTATGCCTGGCCTGCCTCCTGCTCACACACAATTGTCTTAGCTAAGCATCTCTTGACTTTTCTATATTTTCCGGGCTTCTTTTTCTCCCCTGACAACTACATTTTAACATCATCCAAGAAAAAGAGCCAACGAGGGTTTTACAGGTCGAAACACTTTTAGTGTTAACGGTGCTAGCCGAAGCTTGGTACACAAAGACAATACAAACCTGATTCTGCATAGCTCACACGGTCTGTAAGTGCTTTCCAGAGTACTTCACCATTCTGAGTTACAATGCTACTGATATCGCAATTTTCTCTGAGTTCAAACCCAAGGTTACAAATCAAGTCATGCACTAAAGGAGAAAGGCATGTGGTAACGGGATCTCCCGTTAAAATCTAAAATATAAAACATAGAGGGCACTGTTAACATCCAAGTCAAAGGAAAATCCCATCTTAAGCACAGACAGAACGAAGGTAGGAAGCTGTAGATATGCTTTCTGGATGCCACAATAGCTGTATGTGTCAAACCGTGCTTGGACACTATGCATGTTTTATGTGTCTGTCTTAAAGTGAATGTTGAAAAACCTGAATCGTTTCTTTAATCACTCTCGTTGACATACAGAGGCTCGGTGTTTTGTTCTGTTTTCCTTATAGCACTCCTTCATTATATCGCAGGTATCAAAACCAGCGTTTCTTCACAGGGAGTGTGAGAACAGGACGTCTCCGTCCCTGGTGTCTGAAACACAACTTCAGGCCCGAGAGCACCGAGTAGGTGTGAGCAATGACGGGTTTCCCGACTGGAGGTGGTTTACCCTTTTCCGTTTCCCCAACGCTTCCTCCCTCTCACCAAACACGCCGCTGTGTAAACTGGCTTTCCCTGCAGCTTATCATCCCGCTTCGGGCCTGCCACAAGGGCATTGTCCACTACAAGTGGCCCGGTCCCGCCCTGCAGGGGTCCCGGGACAGAGACTGGGTCAGGATCCCAGGGCGCGGGACCTCAATGCAGGCGGCGGCCATCCTACCTCCATCGCTTCCGGTTCGGCCCGTGGCGCTCGCTGATGACGTACGCCCGTGGCCCCCCCAGCCCCGACTTCCGGGATGCGGCCGCGTGCCGCGCGGCGCGAGAGTCGGCGTCTCTGGCATCGCTGCCGGCGGGGTAGTTGGGCGGATAGACGGCGGCGGGAGGCGCGGCGCCTTCGGGGAAACGGATCGAGATGGACCGAAGACCCCGAATGACGAAGTCGTCCGCCGGCCAGGCGACGCATCACTCGCCGGTGGCGCCTAAGAGGGAGAGGAGGCCTAGCATGTTCGAGAAGGAGGCAGTGAGTGGAGAGCGCTAGGCCCGAGGCTGCCCGCCCGCCCTTCAGACCGGGCTGCTCTTCCCTGCCGGCGCCCGGAGCCGCGGGAAGGATGGCTGTCCTGTTCCTTCTGCCGTCCTCCCGGCCCTTGCCAAGCTGGGTTTAGGTGGAGCAGCGTGGTTTAGACGTTGAAGGCTGAGGGCTTTTGGTGGTTGCATCCACAGAATCCTAAGTTAACTGATGGAAAGTCTTTACACGGCGGGTTCTCGCTTCTTTTCAGGCTTAGCTTGCGGATGTCCAGAGTTATCCAGTGGTTGTGCACATTGCGCCTTCTAAACGCAGTTTTAGTATGTGCATGGCTTACCAACCCCAAGTGAGTTTATACCATGCATACACACACACACACACAGAGAGAGAGAGAGAGAGAGAGAGAGAGAGAGAGAGAGAGAGAGAGAGAGAGAGAGAGAGAGAGAGAGAGAGAGAGAGAGAGAGAGAGAGAGAGAGAGAGAGAGAGAGAGAGAGAGAGAGAGAGAGAGAGAGAGAGAGAGAGAGAAGAAACTGACTTGTGCAGGTCGATGAAGTCTTGTTATTTGAAGAATATTTAAGAGGAAAAGTTGAAATTTTACTTCTCAGTTATCAGTAGGGAAGGCCAGCATCCCATCTTATTGGCATTAGAACACTGGCATTTCTATATGATTGTCCTTTAAAACCCTTAACGTCATCAAAACTCCATCTTCTGTTGAGGCCATAAGGGAAAACATGCCCAAGGATGCAGAACTGAGCTTAGAACCCGTGTCCTAGGACACTAGGTGTTTTCATGTCTACTTCATGTGGCTCATGATTGGTAGGATGCAGCTAGACAGAACAGGAAAGATGCATTTTTGAAAAGTTAGCCATTTCAAGATCACCTAGAGTGATGGCAGCATTTTAGGTTTTAATGTCTCTTTTGTGGCAAGAGTTTTGCAGAGAAAAAAAAAAACAGATAGGAAAAAAAGTAAGAATGCCAAATTCACACACCTAGGAAAAACATTGTACTATGTTAAAGTTTGGGTTACTAACAGTAAATAAAGATTTCTATACTTTGAGACAAGACTGGGAATCCACTGCCTATCTTAAAAGTTGAATGAGCCTGCATATATATTCTTTAAGTCTAGTCTTCTAGACTTTTAATAGTACTTAGGAAGTAAAATAGGATCCTACATGTTTCCTAACACTGAATGTTATTTTCAAGTGGCCACTTGTTTCCATATTTCTGATATGAAAAGTCAGGACACACTTCAATCGGTATGAGCACCTCTTGGTTTTAACTGTCCTGTGTCCATTTATAGAAAATTACTCATTTGTTTTATGAGTAGGTGTGCCTACCTGGGTGTATGCATATGTACCATGAGTGCAGTGACAGTAAGTGGTTGTGAGCCACCAAGTGGTGCTGGGAACCACTGAGTCTTCCACAAGAGCAGGAAGTGCTCTTCCCTGCTCTCCAACTTTCTGTGTGTGTGTTTCTAGTGGTATGTTTTCAGAAAAGTAACTCCACCCCAACTGGGAAGGGCTTTAGTGGTTTGGGTGACTGCTTAAACTTTGTAGGAGGAGTAAACAAAATTAGATTTAATGAACTAAGAAAAGACTTGGGTTTTTTTATGATGGCAGATGCAAACTGGAGTGTCCTTCATGTGTCTTTCTGAATCTTCCTGCCTGAATTACTCCCATGTTTCCAATAAATTGCATTTTTGCTTAGCAAGAGTTAGGTCTTTGCAATCAAAGATTACAAAACCTTAGGCAGATTACTAAAAAATTGGCAACTTTATCAGTCTCATTCAAGCATGTGTATTTGAAAACCATAAACTTTAGCAAATAAATAGAACTTTAGCTAAATAAATGTCTCATTGGAATACTGACATCAGTAAGCTCAGTTTATTCTAGGTCTGTAAGTAGACTCCATGTAGGTAAATGCCAGTAAGTAGCTTATCTTGATAACAAATTTGGTGGCATTTAAAAAGATGGTAAGGGTTTCATTGGAGCTGAAAGAAAAAATACCTTTTTATTAATAACAGTATGTTAAACCAAGTAACCGGTATTATACATGAAGAAGAAATGTTAGAAATGCAGTTTTCAAGGTAGCAATTTGCTAATGGTTAATTTGAAGCTCCACATGTCCTATTCCCAGAAGAATTATGCAATCTTGAAAACAATGTTAGTCATGCAGGGTATTAATAGTGTGTCCCTTGAGTATATTGTATTGGAAACGAAGGTAGTAGTTGCTTCTGAAGAGAAAGGTTGAGTTAGCCTTCCATAAATAAACAGTGTCAGGTCATGTGCATTGAATGGAATTAGCAGATTTAATCTCACAGAAAGGAGACTAATAAACAGAATCATGAGAGGAAAGTTCTGAAAAGGTGTTCAGTGTCTGTGAAGTGCCTTAGTACTCTTGTTATTTGAGTCTATAAAGAAAAAAGAAAGGTAAGAAATAATGCTTGAAATTCTAGATGAAAAGCAACAAATATGAAAACTAAAACCACAGACCAAAGAATCTCAGTGAATTCCAGGCACAAGAAGCAGGAAATCCTGCCAAGACATACTTGAAACCATTGATACAAACATTTTTATGAAAAAAAAAAAACAGCAGGCTTCTCAAAAATCGTCTGAATTGGAAGACACTGAAGCATCCTCTTTACTGAAAGAAAACTAGACCTAAATGGCTATGTGTAGCCAAAGTGTATTTCAAAAACAGAATTCCAGGTTGTTTACATAAAGAAGTTGAAGTCCCTACATTTTAAGTAACAAAAAATTGCAAACCCCATATCAGTTTTTAAATACATGAGAAAAGTGACTAGGACAAATTGCTACCACCAAAGTTAGTGACAGCTGGTAGAGAGACAGCATACCAAAGCTCAAACTTAATGGCAGGGTATGAAAACCTGAAATGAAACCGATGAATTACTAGAGTCCCCTCTGTGTGTGTGTGGTATAGTATATACATATGTACTATGTATATAATGTATGATGGTGTGTGTGTGTGTGTGTGTGTGTGTGTGTGTGTGTGTGTGTGTGTGTGTAACAAGCTTTCTTGCCTAGATTCCTCCCAGTTTCTCTCTCTCTGCCTGGAAGACCCACTTAGACCTCCTGCCTACCTATTGGCCATTCAGTTATTTGTTACACCAGTCACATCAATACATCTTTACATAGTGTACAAGTAACCCACAACAGTTCCCCCTTTTGTCTAAATAAAAAGGAAAGGTTTTAGCTCTAGTACAGTAAAATTATATACAGTAACAACAATTATCAACTAAGAATTATATTCACAATGTCCAGTCCATTTGTATTTGGCAAGTTTGGAGAAATTACTGTATTTTTTATCCTGTCTTAGTGAGTCCAGAGTTTTATACCTAAACTTTCTATCATTATTATTATCCTAAAAATATCTTATGTGCATATTTCTTAACTCTAGGGTTAAGAGAGGAGGTAGAGGAGGTGGAGAAAGAATAAGTAACTGCCAAGAAATTAGAGAAGATGAATCATATTAAATGCTCAGTTTAAATCACAATAGAAAAGAATGGAATAGTGTCAGAATGGATTAAACTAAGACTCAACTGAGTTTACAATTAGGTCATTTAAAATACACATATATAAAAGGAGATGGATGGGGAAAGACAGACTAATATCAAAATTAAGTAGGAGTAGCAATAGACTTAAGACAAAGCAAAAATCAAAGCAAATAAAGTCTTCAGTAATAAAGTGATGAGGGCCAGTTGTCTGGGAAAACATCAATTCTTGCCAATATACAACTAATGGTACAGCATGAAAATATGTGAAAGGAAAGTGTGTATGTTCAAAGGAGGAGCATACCAACCTAACATTATACTAGGAGATTTCAGTGATGTGTCTGCAAAAAATGGACAGCCAGCGCTGTATCTGCCTCTGCGTGAGACCCTAGGTGTGACTGCCTGCACTAGAATTTTTTTTTACTTTCAATAAATTTCTTTCTAAAAACTTACAAATAAAAAACAACATGCACCGGGTGTTGGTGGCTCACACTTTAATCCCAGCACTCGGGAGGCAGAGACAGGCGGATGTCTGTGAGTTCGAGACTAGCCTGGTCTACAGAGTGAGTTCCAAGACAGCCTCCAAAACAATACAGAGAAACCCTGTCTCGAAAAACAAAACACAAAAAAACCCAAAACAAAACAAAAAAACCATCATGCACTGAAATCAATCAGATCCAAAGTGTATACACCTCAGTGAACTTCTGTGAAGTTAGAATAGTATGCAAATATATGTACACAGATTTGTACATGTAAGTTTTGTATGTATTAGTTTTACATATGTGTACCAAAGCATATACCACCACCTGTAACTTAACTAAAAAGAAAAACAAAAACAACTAATAACCCTTATGAATATTACTGCAGAAAGCAAAACACCTTTAAAAAAGCACTATCATCAGTATTCAATTCAAAGAATTATAGACTGACCAAGTTTTCCTGAATGCAAACAAATCATCATGTAAAAGTCACCAATGTAGTACATACAAGCTGTAAGTTATGTGATCATATTCATTGATTAAGGAAATCATTTTTGTCAAAATTTACCCCTTCATGATGAAAAATACTGAATAAACAATAACTGGAATTAACAGGATATTAAAATACCATGTATTAAAAGCCATAGCCAACATCATATTCAGTGGTAGAAGACTAGAATTTTGTCCTCTTAATAGGACTAAGGCAAACATCTATTCATCACGTCCAGTCAAAACGAAGCTGGAAGTCCTAGACAAGTATGTACAAAAGAGAAATTCCTGGTTATTAAGAAAATGAAGCTTGCTACCTTAAGGGACTAGAAAGTTGCTCCAGGAAATACTATGGTGTTGTCCAGTGTTTTGAAACTGCTTCGTGACTTTGTCACCTACATATGTGCTGCCTTGTTTTCACAGTGTTCACAGGTAGCCTAGGGTGCATGCTGTCCACCAGTCAGTCACAGTTTGGACATACCTATAAGGCTCTAAATAATTAGTTTACTGATACAAATTGGATACTTCAGAAGGAAGCATCATGTCAAAATCATGGACTGATATATCACATGTCAAAAATGGACTGATACATATATTTACACACACAAATATATATGCTTTTGTTATCTTTTCAAGTTAAGATTTATAAATATACTGCCTAAATCTGCTATTTATTTAAAGATAACTAAATGTATGGATATATTTCCATAATTGCAGGTAGGAAGGAAGCATGAAAATCCTTTATCTTTATGCCTCAAGCACCCTCTGGAGGCTACTCTTGTTTCTGGTCCTTTTGCATATTTTGTAGGTGTTCTAAATATCTGCACACAAGTTGTACATTTGTGTATTTGTGTGTCTTAGTTTTCCTATTGCTGTGATAAATACCCTTATAAAAGCAGCTGAACAGAGAAGAGTTTGTTTCAGCCTTGCGGTCCCAGGGTACCAAGACAGAGGAGTCATGGCTGCAGGCGTTTGAGGCGGCTCATCACATTGAATCCGCACTCAGGAATCAGAGAGCAGTGATTACTTGTGCCGCATGCCCTGACTCCTTTTTATACAGCTCAGGATCCCTTCCGAGGGAACGGTGCCTCCCACAGTGGGTAGATCATCTCATTTTAGTTAATCAAAGCAAAGCCATCCTCCATAGGCAAGCCCAAAAGCCTATACCTCAGGCAGTTACTTAGTCTCAAACTGATGACAGAAACCATTACTAGCTGGCAGTTAATAGTCTAAGATTTAGTGACTACGTGGAAGCATGCCTACATTTCAGGTTGGTTAGCTCTGCCTCACTGTATGCAGACCCTTAACATCTGAAACATAATCTTTCTCCTTTCCTCTTTCAGTATGCACAGATCTTAAGAGAAAGACTGAGAGAATCTGTTCATGACGTTCAGTATGTGGAACCTCCATTTGATGATTCAATTGCTGATATAGGCAAAGAATGGAAGAGTGCCCTGGCAAAATTAAAGTTTGCTAATTCATATAGAATGGAGCCCTTGAAGAAATTCCAAGCACATTCAGTAGAAATTAAAGTCCAGCAGATGTTAAAGGTAATTAGGGATCAAGGTTATAGCTCAGTGATAGATACTTGTCTGGCATATATGAGACCATTGAGAGCATGTTAGGCTAAAATAAATCAAGTGATCATATTTATTGAGGAAGGTGTGTGTGTGTATTCACTATAGGGACTCCCCGTAAAAAATATAGAGGTTAAATGGGCCTACAATTCTGAATGTTGAATTCAGTCTGAACCTAGAAGGAAAGGCAACCAAGTTCCCTGTAAACTAAATTCTGACATGGAGCTGTGCTGAGGGACAATCCTGTATGTTGTGAATATGTTTTACTCTCATTGGTTAATAAGCTGATTGGCACATAGCAAGGCAGGATAAAATTAGGCAGGACAAGCAAACTCAGGACTCGGATGAAGAAGGGTGGAGTCCAGGGAGACAACAGCAAAGAAACAAGATGCTAGAGGCCAGTTAAAGCTACGGTTCATGTGGCAAATAGATTAATAGAAATGGGTTAATTTAAATGTAAGAGCTAGTTAGTAATAATCGTGAGATACTGGCAGAGCATTTATAGTCAGATATAAGCCTCTCAATGTTTATTTGGGACCAGGCGGTTGGAACAGGAAAACTCCTCTGTCTACAGAGCTGGATAACTGGTTCACCTCAGTTAGGACAGGAAAGCTACATTTCTGGCTTTCCTAGCTGAAAGTGAACTGGTTTCAGTGACTCTTATGGGTAGGTATGGAGAAAAAGGCATTTTTTTCCCCCTTCAGTTCAGTAACTACATGGGAGGTACCAAGAGATGTTGTGCTCAAGCAGGGAAGCCTTGACCATACAGCAACTGAAGCTGTGTGTAGATGATGCCTGCCAAGCTTACAGAGCAGCCAGGCAGATGTGATGGGGGAAGTCCTGGTATATGTCAATAAAGCACTGTTGGCCAATAGGGAAGCAAGAAAGGTGAGACTAGGAGTCCAGGAGGACTCTGGGTAGGAGAAACACAGAGAGTCAAGATATAACCGCCATAGGGATAAGAAGCCCGGAAACTTCTCCGGTAAGAGAAATACTTAGATTAACAATTATGGGATAAATACTTAAGTCAGAGCCAGCCAGTAAGAAACAAGCAAGGCCAACAACTTCATAATTAATACAGCGTCTTGTGTGTTATATGGGGACTACAACGCGGCAGAGCCTAGGCGACTGGCAGGGGGTAAAAACCAAAGCGGTGGCAAGGAAAAGGCTTCTCTCAACATAGATGCATTTGAAAGAGACTGTGGTAGCAGTCACAATGGCAATGCTCTGTACAGCCCCCTCATGATACCATACTATTTTTGAGTAAGCTAGAGGTAATTCTAAATGTGTCCATTGGAGGTTTTCTTCAATAAAAGCTCTTACTTCACAGGTAAAGGACTCAACGTGGCTCTTCTGCCAACTGCTAAGTATGTCTATTCTAATCATGCCCTTCCATAACTGGCTCAGGGTAGGTTTGGAGAACCTGATTGCTATGTGAAATAGACATGAGTTCACGCTCCACTGATCAACTTCTGGGTCCCATTCGAAACCTGTATGACCAGGTGCTCAGCTTGCATCTGCACGCTGAGGGTCAACGTTTGATTTCCAGCAGCTGCAGCCCCTCAGCTACAGATGTGTCTCTCCCTTTAGGTTTCCACCTCACCTAAAAGGCAGATTGAAAGGAAAGCCAACTTGGGTAACTTCTGCCTAGACTCGGGACTTTGTGAGGAAAGCAAAGGCATGGGAAGGCGGGGTCAAGCTCTTGACTGCTAGTTGGGATGTGGATGAGAAAGCTGGGAAGCATGGCTAAAGGTGTTTGGGCTTTAGTGGGTAATCCCAAAGAGGTGCCTGGGAAAGTAAGGCTAGTGAGGAAGTGGCGTGTCTGTCTCCTCTGATCTATGGCAGTGTCTGTCCTCTGTCTTGGAACTGGAGAGGACCCTTTTCATGAGAGTTTTACCTCCTGCTTTAAGGAAGAAAAAGGAAGGGAAGGCTACTGCACTCACAATTTCTTCAAGCACTTTTGGGTCAAAATTATATGAGAAAGCAAATTTTAGGTGGCGTATTCTGAACCTCTCTACTTCCTTCCACCCCTCCATTGCTAACTACATATTTAAAATAATTGATATTTGGCAAAGATATTATAGTTTATGGTTTGGGGAAAGAGTTCTGATCAACGCTAATAGTATGTGTGATACATGTGTATATTTTTGGTCCCTCACTTGACCCTACCATGTAAATAAAATTAAACAAAACAATAAATAGGTGAGGTATGAACCTCATTTACAGAAGCCACCCCTGGGACCTGAGCCCAGAGTTACAGTCAGACTATGGATTTGGAGAGATTCCTAGACAGACAAGCAGGGTTGGGTTTACCCCGAGAGAAGACTGATCTTGAGCTTGAGTTAGGTTCAGAAGAGAGCAGGTGATACTGAGTTTTGGGACAATAGATGCAAGACCAAATGCAGGTCTTAGACCAGCTTAGACCAGCTGTATACATGGAAGGAACCTGTCAGGGAGCCAATAGGAGAAGTTGGGAGGAAGAAGAGAGAAAGGAGGGTAGAATAGGAGGGTGCAGGAGAATCGACAGAGGACAGTTACCTGACTCTTTTCCTATGATGTTGATTGGTATAGTCCCTGTGTTATCGCAGACTTAGTGCGCTCCCGGAGAGCTCGCTAACCAACGGCTTTGTTTGTGATCAGCACCTCCGTCGGTCCAGCTTGCTCAAAGTTTGTAAGAAAGGCTCCTGGCATGACGAGGTGGCTCACTGATGAAGTGCACTGGCTGTTTTTCCAGAGGATGCACATGGCGCCTCACAACCATGTGAAACACCCTCCTCTAGTTTCCCTTGGCGCCAGGGAACAGGTGGCGGCGCACAGACATAGATGTAGGCAAAACATGGGTACATTTAAAGTAAATCTGATTTTTTTTTTTTTAAGAAAGGCTTGCTCCTGCGGGGCGGTGGTGGCGCACGCCTTTAATCCCAGCACTCGGGAGGCAGAGGCAGGCAGATCTCTGTGAGTTCGAGGCCGGGCTGGACGACAGCCTCCAAAACAATACAGAGAATCCCTGTCTCGAAAAACAAAACAAAAAAGGCTTGCTCCTGCTTCATGGTCTGTGAGCCATGCCTATTTTTCTCAGATGTGTTAGTTTATTAGTAAATATGCTAAGTTGTATGCTGTAAGGAGTAAGATGCTCAGAGAAGGTGGTGACATAAAGTCAACTTGGCCCAGTTAACACCTGCATTTGGAATGTGTAATCATAAACACACAGAGTTTCCTTCCTTTGCTGTGGATTTCCAGAGACCTTTCGAAATTCTTTTGTCTCCCTGGTGAGAAATGAAAACTGAGTTAATTACAGCAAGTTGACAGAGTAGCCTCATATGCAGAAACTTACAACTCAAGTGTTGATCATGAAGGGCAACTGAACCTAAAATTTTGGAGACAGAGTCTCACTATTGTAGCTTTGGTTGGCCTGGAACTTACTGTATAGACCTGGCTGGCCTAGAACTATAGAGAGCCACTTTTGCCTTGGCTGCCTGAGGGCTAGAATTAAAGGCATATGCCACTAATCCTGGCTTTTGACAACTGAACATAATTTTGAAAGCAATTTTTCCAAAATTGTTATTGAAAATAAATTGGTAAATGTAATGTATGGTAATTTTCAGGGATATATTTTAAAACAGTTGTAGGTATTATTTAGATACATGTTTTCTATTTACTTAAAGCATTTTGTTTAAAAATTGATACTTTTCTCAATTTTTTTAAAGGAAAGTCTTAAAGATGTCAAATATGATGATAAAGCCTTCTCTCATTTGTCACTTGACTTGGCAGACCGGGTATTGGCAACAGTCAAAGAATTTGGGTACCACCGTTATAAATTCATTGTAAAAGTATTATTTATTGAAAAGACTGGTCAAGCAATAAATGTAAGTGCCCCAGTGACCTAACATCCATCTGTTTGAGATTTGAGGTGCCCCCAGGGATGCAGAGATCTTAAGGGCCTCTTGAATACAAACATCATTTTGTTAAGAAAAACCAAAAACTTTTCTCATTGCAAATTGTTTGCAACATACTAGCCTAGATATACAATTTTGCTATCAATAATTTACTAGATTATATAGCATGTTTCTTGGTCATAGTAATTTTGATCATTTAAATGTCATTTAAATTAATTAACCAGTAAGCCAGGTGTAGTGGTTCACACTTTTAATCCCAGCACTTGGTGGGCAGAGGCAGGTGGATCTCTGTGAGGTCAAGGCCAGGCTGGTCTACATTGTGAGTTCCAAGACAGTCAGGGCTACACAGAGAAACCTTATCTTGAAAACATCAAAATAAATATTAATTAGCCAGTAAGTTTCATTTAGGCATGTTAGGGTGATGAATATTTTATATTGTGGTGCTGTTATTAATGTATGAGTTTTAGGGATGAATAAGAAAGGAAAGGTTATGGCTTAACAATGGTATGTTTATGTGTCATTGAAAAGGGTCAATAGTGTTTTCTTTTTTTTTTTTTTTTTTTTTGGTTTTTCGAGACAGGGTTTCTCTGTAGCTTTGGAGACTGTCCTGGAACTCACTTTGTAGACCAGGCTGGCCTCGAACTCACAGAGATCCGCCTGCCTCTGCCTCCCGAGTGCTGGGATTAAAGGCGTGCGCCACCAACACCCGGCTCAATAGTGTTTTCTAGTTTTATGTCAACTTAACTATAGTCATCAGAGAAGAGGGAAAATGCCTGTAGGGCATTTTCTTAATTAGTGATTGATATGGGAGACTCCAGCCCATTGTGGGTGGTGTCACCCTGGACCAGTGTTCCTGGATACTTGCTATAAGAAAGCAGGCTGAGCAAGCCGGGAAGCAGCTTCTCCTTGGCCTCTGCATCATCGTCTGCCTCCAGGTTCCTGCCATGAAGCAGGGTGGCCATTTTGGATCCATCACAGAACGTAAAGCTTGTCCTTGCAGGCATCACAAGGGATCTCATTTATACAGTCAGCACCATTGCTGCCAGCCATGACTGAAGATCTCTAAATGAGGCAAGAAGCATGGTCTGGGACAGTAGACTGGGTCTATAGGCAGAGCTACTAGGCTCCACTAAATAGAGAGAGCCCTTCTAATCCAGCCTGGGACTCACTGAGGCAACTAACTACCAGCCTCTAGCAAAGAAGAGAGCCAAGCAGCATCATTCCTCAGTCTCTCCATGAGACTTGGAAAACTGGACACAGCCTTAATAGTTACTTTTTAATCATGTAGTGTGTTTGGGGGATGGGGGCGGGAGCTCATGAGCGAGAGTCTGTGAGGAAGCCAGAGGTGACAGATTCCCCCAGAGGTGGAGTTACAGGTGGTTGTAAGCCATCTGACGTTAGTGCTGGAATTGAACTTGTTTCTTCTGGAAGCACAATGCATGTTCTTAACTGCTGAACCATGGCTCCAGCCTCCTGTTTTTCCTCATAGTGCTAGGATAGAACTAAGGGCTTGGAGCACACCAGGCAGGTGTGTTATCATTTGAGTTACTCCACACAGCCTAACAAATTATTTCCCAGATACAACTTTCTGAGATATGGGCACGCTATTTAAAAAAATCAAACTATGTAGTTTAAAAGTTACTTAACACATCTCCTCTGAGTCTTTTAAATTTTCTCTCACAGATTGCCAGCAGATGGATCTGGGATGTGGCATGGGACAGCTGGGTAGAAGCTAAACATGAAACAGAGTCTTACGTGGCATTGGTTCTGGTTTTTGCTCTCTATTGTGAATAGCTCAGGACTAAAGCAGTTTCATATACACGGCTTTTCAAAATAAATGACATGTACAAATCCGTGAGCTTCATGTGTTATCTTAACAATAAACACTCAAAACCCAGTTATATTAAGTTATTAACAGCATATGTTCCCCCCACCTCCAATAGTAGAAAAGGTAGATATGGACTCTTACAGATTCTAATACATAGGGATACTTATTCTTTTAGATTTAAGAAAATTAGGATAGCCAGCCATGGTGGCACAGGGAGGTTGATCTCTTTGAGTTCCAGGCCAGCCTGGTCTACATATTGAGTTCTGGGTCAGCTTGGTCTATGTAGTGAGTTCCAGGACAGTCAAGGGCTACATGAGAGCCAGTCTCAGAAAACAACATAAAATTAGTACTTGCCATAGGAATTTTTTTTTGAGACAGGGTTTCTCTGTGGCTTTGGAGCCTGTCCTGAACTCACTCTGTAGACCAGGCTGGCCTTGAACTCACAGAGATTCGCCTGCCTCAGCCTCCCGAGTACTGGAATTAAAGGTATGCGCCACCAGTGCCCGGCCTTGCTATAGAAAATTAAGCTGAAGTCTCAGATAATGTGTGAAAAATATTTTGGAAAACTTATGAAGACAGATGCATTTCGGGTGGTGGTTTAATATTTTGTGTTTGTTCTTTTGAAAGGATGTTTATGTATTGGTGCTTTCTTATCTAAATTCCTTGTCCAATCAAAATACAGCTGAGTGGATTTTTCATTGAGTAGTCTGTTAGGCTCATTTAGATGCAAGAACTGAAAAACCCCAAATAATTATTTAAAGAAATAAAAATGCATTTTGGTAAGAATACAGGCTTTCTGTCATCTGACTCTGGTTTAACTTGGTGGAATTTAATCCCATTTCCATGACTGGACTGGAATCTACTGTGGAAAAGGTGGGTATGATGTCCACATTGGGACCGTTCTACCAAGGAATGGGTAGGCTTTGGGGAGTAGCTGGTGATGTGGTTCAGTAGTAGAGTGTTTGTTTGGAACGCCGAGGTCCTGGGTTTCCTTCCCAGCAACCCCTTCCCAACACAGTTCAAGGCCTCAGCATAAAAGCCTAGGAAGCAAGCAGTCGCTCAGTGAAGTGCTGCCAAGAGAAGAGGACAGGTCGGAAGTATCTGACAGCGGTGTTGGTACTGGTTTCAGTGTAGCTTCTAAAGAAGCCGTTGGGGAGTTTTTAGTGATGGGAGATGGTAAAAGGTGAAATCTGACAGCCGTGTTGGTACTGGTTTCAATGTAGCTTCTAAAGAAACCGTTGGGGAGTTTTTAGTGATGGGAGATGGTAAAAGGTGAAATGCGCACAAGACACTGGGAGTGTTGCACAGAGTAGATACTTCATTTCCCCAAAGCCACCAGACCACGGTAACGTCTGTAGCAACCATTGTCCCTAAGGAACTGTAAACATCAAATAGCTTGAATGTTACACCAATGTTTACATTGGTTATTAGAAGAAATGGGAACATCTCCTGGACTGCCTGCCTCTCGAGGTTTTATGGTGAGAGAAAGGGAAAGGGAGGAAGGACATGAGAGAGAAGGAAGAAGAGAAGGAGTAGGAAGGGGTATATCTTTTGTGTCTTCTGACTTTCATTAAGATATCAATCCCCATTGTGGGGGCCCCATCCTCATGACCTCATCCGGGTCCTCCCAAAGGCCTTACTTCCAAGCGGTATCTATCACACTGGGGTTTAAGGCTTCAGCATACGAATTTTGCAGGAAAACAATATCTGTACATAGTAAACACAATGGTTCTTCAAAAGCCTGTCAGTAACTGGTCAGTGCCCAGTGGGAATTCTGTTCCCTAGTTTGTAGACAGACAGCAAGTTGTTTCCTACTTTTGCAGTGAAAAAAAAAAGTGTGTTGTATTAATGTGACTCACCTTTTAATACACAAAGCAAAGGCTGCAGCGATGGCTCGCAATTAAGAGCACACACTGCCCTTGTAGAGGACCCATTAGGTGTTATCACTCAAGTTGGCTCATGTCACTAACGTCTGACCTCTGTAGGCACCTGCACTCATATGCACACACACACCTTCCCCTTAGACACAAAAATAGTAAAAAGTTTGAAAACAAAACAGGATCTGTTACTGGCCCAATACTTGATGGTTAGCCTGACTGGATCTACTTTTCCACCAGCATTGGATTACA